ATTTAATTTTAATATTTTTATTTTCATACGTGTCTATATACGTGTCTATATTTTTTGGATTTTTTGGTACATCATTGTCCTCTGGCTGATGGCGTCTCTGTGGCCCAGTATACCTAAGTATACTGTGTCTGTGGCGCATAATGATGAGTGAGCCTAACACAAGTGAGACGATATGGTGAATGCATATACCTAAAAAGAGTGACAACACGCCAACAGATTCTTCAAACTGTCAAAGAACACATTAATTGGCGCGCCGCTCACAAACAAGGTTGCCAAACCAGTGTTGCAAGTCTAGTACAATTCACAATTGAGTGCTGTTATTTCAAACTTTTAGTATCTTTTGATGAATGAAGTTGAATATTATTGTTGACCTTTTTAAATTGTTTATTTTACCTATACTATTTTTTTTCTACTCTTCATACAGTATTCTATGAAGAGTATTATAGGTTTACTTTGTCTGTCTTTTTGATATCACGTTTTTTGTCTGCACGATAAGTCAAAAACGAGAAATGATATCAACTTGAAAATTTTAAGCAAAAATCAAGCTCTATAAGGGGACAAAGCCTATTGTTTTTTAACCACTGATCTCTATTACTTTACTGGATAGGATATAGCTCTCTAAAAAACGTTCCGAAAAATTGGCCGATTTGGGCAAATAATATGGCGGACCGGATGTTATTTAACATAACCTCTATTTCCATTTGTCATCACATTTGTCATTTAATTGTGTCAACAAGTTACGATGAGATGTTTTTTTTATTTATTTAGGTAGCATTACCACGGCTATGCCGTGGCATTACTATGATATAAACAATAAACGTTCATTCGTGAAGACACAATATGCTTCACGTTTCCATTTTTATATTTTCTTTCATAAAAAAATCAAATTATGGGTGAATTGTTCCGAAGGACAATGCCGCAAAAGGAATAGAAGAAGAATAAGAAGAAAAACTAATGAAATTATTGGTTAGGTATGTCAAATTATCGCAAAATTCAGTTATGTGATCCCACCTTAATTTGCCCAAATCGGCCAGCAGTGTTGCACTTCCGGTCTCCTTGGTGGAACGGATTTTAAGTATGTTAAATATAGCCTATATCCTATCCAGTAAAATAATACAGATCAGTGTTTTTAACAAATCTGATTAAAAATAGGGGGTTAAGATGGGTTGAAATTAAAACAAAAAATCCTAAATTAAGAACGAAACGCGATATCAACATGAAATTTTTAGTAAAAATGAAGCTTTATAAGAAGATAAAGCCTATTGATACTAAAAAAATATGAATATATTGGGGAGTTAAGGGGGTTAAAATATAAAAAAAAATCCTAACTTAAAAACGGAAAATAATATAAACTTGAAATGTTCAGCAAACATCAATCTCTAAAAGGAGAAGAAGCCCTTTAATTATAAAAAAAAATCTGATTAAATATGAGGGATTTAAGGGTGGTTGAAATTAAAAAAATATCACAAATGAAAAGCGATATCAACATGAAATTTTTAGTAAAAATCAAGCTCTTTAAGGAGATGAGGCCTATTGATTGTGAAAACAAAAATGAAGGTTAAGGGGCTCTGTTAAACTGCGAAGAGTATCATTTAGAATGCCAGGCATTATATATCGTTATTCTAGTTTGTGTCTGTGTAATATCATGTATTGTGATGGGACTGATCTTATAAACTGAACATTTAAAACATTTTAGTTTTTATTTTATTTGCCAATAAGAGGTATTTAAAAAAATATATTTTTTATTTGACATCTATGACAAATTGTGAAAAAGATTAAACTTATAATAAAAACTAAAAAATGGTAAGTAAAGTTTTATAAAAAAATTTTTACACAAAAATCAATGTCAAGCTTTCTACATAACCTGATATATATTTAAAAATAATCTCAAATTATGAAGAAAAGTCAGTTTACTAACTAATAATGTTTATAGATGGTTTTCAACGTATTAAAAACAAAAAAAATATTACACTAACTAAAATATTCATTTCTTAATAGTTGTATTGCTTGAAAACAGTATGATGTTGATAATAATAACTACACTTAATACAAACTCAAATAATAAAAAAACAGCGATATTGACTCTTGTACAAAGTTTTGATCCGAACTTACAAATGGTAAAATTATTGGAAAAAGTGAACACCCATTTTAAATTAGCACGAGCCGCCACTGCCCCAAGTGATATTTGGAAAGATTTAGCTTAATCCCCTTCCCCCCTTGAATACCACACGTAATTAATGGACGCCCCATTTAGGCAACTCTGCACAGAATACTCAATAGAGCTTGAGAACATTAATGGATGAAGGAGCCAGAAAAAAATACTTGACTAAGTGGGTTGCATGAACATTCTTTAAAATTTAGTTGCTTGATAAACTTTGACAGAGATTTAGAATAAATATTTTAAAGTTTTTGTAAATCAGACATAAAAAATCTTAAATATAAATAACAATTAAAATTAAATTGATCAGGGAAAATTGATTGGCTTAGTAAGAAAAATTAAGACCAAAATGTAGGTATAACGTTTTTATGTTAAATTAATTGTAAATATTAATGTTATTTTATGTTTTCTGTAAAAAATTACCTATATTTTGTGTAATAATAAGTCAATACTAGGGATTTTTAAAAGAATAATTGTGGTATTTGTAGATGACTGTTTTATGTTGTTTTTAATTTTTTGAAATTATAATTGTGTTTTTTAAAATTTGTATCCAGTTTTTGTTAATAATAAAATAATTGTCACATTGTTATCTTACATTTTTATGCTTTAATAATTTAGTGTGTGATTATAGTGTTTATATTGTAAATATGCTATTAAATATATAATGCAATGACATAGTTACCTATTCTATTAATGAAATAACTTATTACAAATGTTTTTTTTTTATTTTTCATTTAAAACAAGTGACATTTTCCGTTTTCAGCATTTACTATTTAATAAAAATTCATTTCTTTTAATTATTGTAAGTAAAAGCTGTAAAATAGGAAAATGTTACTTGAAATTGCTTCAAATTTCATAAATTTTGAAGCCCGCCATTTTTTAAATCGCTTTACTTAGAAGTGTTCTACTTTACCGACTGTACCGAATTATAGTTTATCATATCGCGCTTAGCGCGCTGCTGTCGAGGTCAAGCAAACTTGTTACCAACTATTTACAGTGAAAACGGCTACCCTGGTAGGTAGCCGCCTTAACTCTAAAAAAACTTATAGACACCAGAAAAAAGGCTCTAGACAATCGGCTATAATGATTCATTGCGTTCTTAGTACCTACCACATTCAAAGAGATCGGTATTCGTGTGTACACATAAAAAACTACGGGCGATTTTTTTCGATCCGTTTGTGAAAAACCGAAAACATATCGATTGCCGACGATCATTGACAATCATGGCCAAGTACTGACAAATAGGCCCTCCACACAATAGTGTTCGCACGGGAGTTTATAGCATATGCGCATTTTGTCAACAAGTTACTGCGCATCGAAACTGGCGTACGTCCGTTTTACAATAACACAATTAAATATAAAATATAAAGAAAACAGAATAATTACAAAATATCTCAATAAAAATGTGTTATTAACTTGCCAAAAGTAATAGTTTCACACATTTTTTTTATTTATCAATCGTAAAATTGAAAAAATATGAATTTATTCAATTATTTGTGCAATGTAAACCTGGCTTTGGATAACAAAACCCAAATCTCGTTAATGCTCGAGTCGACTCGATAAACGAAACCCGCGAATGATACAAAATACAATATGGCTGTCGATGTAAACCACATGTAAACAATTCTAAGTGAGTTTTACTTTTATTTAAAACAGTTTTAGGTATAAATTTAGTAATAATTTACTGTAAGTAAACTTATTTTGATACTTTTGCATGTCTCTGTCCTATAAATGCATATATTTGATTGTAGTAGTAAATTGTTCTGGCCCATTTACACTTTTAGAAAAAACATTTTCATTTTATTGCTAACTGAAAAAAGGATTATTATTCGTATTCGTAATTGTGTTATCCCCAAATATTGAAATCCTTAACAAAGTTTTAATTCTGATATTCATTTTGATAATTATCCTAGATATGCCAATTTATTTGTATGTATTATAACCAAACTTTTTAATCTTTATAAATCTAAAGTATTTTCATTACATAAAGCAAGAAAATCTTAATTAGACGTTATAGAAATTAGAAGTAGTAAATTAAAAATTAGTTAAATCGCTGCAAATGTAAAAGTAATTAGTCACATACAATCAAAATCATGTGCTTTGGGAAGTTTTTCGCTTTCAACAATTGTTTTTTTTTTTCTTTTTGTTTCAGGATTCATGGATGGAACTATTGTTTTATTTCGCACGATTAAAGAAAAATTTTGTTCGTTTTATGTTATTTAAAATAGTTGTTTATTCAGAAAATATATATTATGTTTATTGTTGTAACCAATAAAGATTCAACAAATAATATTTAGTTATAATACTATTTTGTATTATTTATTTTATACCTCTAAAATTATTTAACATAAAATTTTACATTTTTATTAGCATTTTTTTAACACGCATGAGATGCGTGTTAAAAAAATGCTAATAAAAATGTAAAATTCTTATATTTTGTCGAAGTGAATTCAAAAGCCCGCCAATTTTTAAATTAAAATAGCATTACAGCTTTTTATATTACCGACTGAGTATTAGTTGCACAAAACTATCCCACATGTCGCTGAAGGCAAACATGTTGCCATATTTATACAAAGAAACGGCAACTCTTAATTATCCTTCCTCCATGAGTACTCGTCTGTGATTGCCCATGACGGCCGATTGTGTATAGGAGCCATAACATTGCACACAGCTAATTTCAACCTCCAGTAACTCACCAAATAAAAATCGAGGTTTCTATTCTACGCTCATCTCCGTCTGAGTTGAATTACCATTGATTTTTACTCGTAAACCTGATCAATTTTTTCTACTTTTGCAGTACCTTAGTCTACCGTGTAGTATGATTTAAAAATAAACATCTAACCTTATTTTTTTGCCAAAAAGTTTCAGTAGTAGATCCATAATAAGTGCCGGAAATAAATGAAATAATAAGTTGTAAACGAAGTAGCCGTACGGACATTTAATCAATGTAACAATTCCTGTTCCAAAATAATATTTCAAAGGGTTCTCCTTTTGTATTTTCAGTCCAATTGCCAAACCTTCAGCCGGCGTATAGAGAAAGTCTGAAGTTGCGTTATAAATTTTAATTTCGTTTGTGGTTTTCCTAAAATAAATATAAAGATTATAAAAATATTACTTTATTTTTGATTTGAGTTTGATAGAAATAATGTACCTAAAAATAATGAGATTTGTTTGTGCAGTGTGCAATATTTTTATCTTTTTTTAACACAGTACATTGACTGACATAGACAAGCCGGTGAACTTAGGGATTTAAAATTTGGAGAAACAAGGGTTTACCACAGGGACCCAATTCTTGAAATTGTAGGAATTGATTCTCAGGAGAAATGTACTTCATTTTCTCTCGATTTTGTAGTATCTGTATTCTAAAAATATTTCATAGGAAAAAATTCTCCTAAAATTGTGAGAATTAATTCCTAATGTCATTTTATGGAGAAATTAAGAATTCTCATAAGAATTTAATTATTGTTACGCAGCACCCTGTAACGTGCTGCGGTCATCATAAGTAAAGGTACTAGTAAATGAATTCCCGAAAAGTCTCGAAATGTCATTCCTTGTCAAAGAAAAGTCCAGATTGTTTGAGAAGTTTCCAGAAGGGGAGGCAAGCTATATAAGGCGACGACCTGACGTCAGAGTTTCAGTTTTATGATAGACATTAAACGTTAATGTTATCAGTTGAAGTTATTGTATCAGTTATATAATTGTTGATAAAGTTTAGTTAAAATAAATTGTGATACCAAAAACCAGCGTAACATTAGTGACAGAGGTGGGATACAAAGTAAAAGTTCACGGTAAATACTAGATCCACTGAATACGAAGCAGGCATGGATACTTCAGGCCCACCAGCATGGTTTTTGAAGATGGAAGAGGAGAGAGTAAGGCGAGAAGAGGAAAAGGAAAGGCGTAGGAAGGAAGAGGAGGAGAAAAAGGAACGGCGTAGGAAGGAAGAAGAGGAGGAGAGAGTGAGGCGAGAAAAGGAAAGGCGTAGGAGGGAAGAAGAGGAGGAAAAGAAAAGGCGAGAGGAGGAAAAGAAAAGGCGTAGGAAAGAGGAAAAGGAAAGGCGTAGAAAGGAAGAGGAGGAGGAAAAAGAAAGGTGCAGGAAAGCTGAGGTAGAAATTATGAACGGTTTGTTACAAATTCAGGAAAATTTCAAGCAAGAGGTAGGTCAGCTAAACAATCAAGTAGATGTCTTAGCACAGCAACAAGAGAATTTAAAAACTAGTTTAGAACAACAACGAGATAATTTAAAACAGCATGAAAAAGCTAGAGTAGAGTTCGAAAGGCAAATTAGAACTGAACTAGTTGAGTTAGGAAGAAGAATTCGTAGCCTAGCTTCGATAAGCAACAGAGAAGCTGAAAACACTACCTCGTCCTCATCTGTAATCGAATCAAGCCATATCCAACACCTAGTTTTACAAATCCATACTAGCAAGATCATTAAGCCACCCTCGTTTGACGGTCAGACAACATGTGAAACGTATCGCCTCCAATTTGAAACTGCAGCTAGAGCCAATGGCTGGGCCAAAAAGAAGAAGGCGGCTGCATTGATAGTGTCGCTGCGAGGACAAGCAGCAACCGTTTTACAATTTCTCCCTCAAGAAGAACCCAGTTATTCATATCTCGTCCAAGCTTTAGAGACAAGATATGGCCAGCAGCATTTGAAACGGGTATTTCAAAGCCAGCTAAAGATTCGTAGTCAGAAACATAATGAGAGTCTACAGGAATTCGGAGTCGACATAAGAAGATTGATTCATCTGGCCAATCCACAGGCTCCCTAGATTTCCAAGAACAAATCGAAATAGAGGCATTCATTAATGGACTACAAGATGCGGAAATGCAGCAAGTCCTTTGTCTACAACATCACAAGACGCTTAGGGAGAAACTGATTGCAGCCCAGGAATATGAAGCGGTAAAACTCATATCCAGATCTTCTCGCGCAAAAATGAGAAAAATTAAATCCTAGGAAAGTGAGGAGACCCATACTAATGCTATTCCCCAACCTACCCTCTCGCAAATATTAAATATCCTGCAAAATATACAACGGAATAACCAAAATAGGAACAGAAGATGCTCCAATTGCTGAAGAATCGGGCACCTTCAAAGAACTTGTAGAAGCAGAGCTCGTTCTATAAATAGAGAATCAGGGAATGAAGCCGGAAAGTCACAAAGATCAATCTTTCGAAGCCCGTCACGAATTCCAACAAGAAATAGTCTCAGCAGCTATGCATCCCGAAGTAGCCAATCACCCACACCGAGCCGGTTTTCTAGCAATAATCAGAAAGTAGAGCATCGTAGAGTCCATCTGTATAGCAACGCAGACATTCTCTCCAGGCGACCCTGTTTAGAACGAGAATGACAGTACATTAAGGAGCTCGGAGAACGGGAGGAACCAGTTGATAAAGTTACCCTTCGGGCAACCACTATCAAGCCAGAGGGCGGCGAAGAAGAAATCACCCTTGAAAGTCTGAGACAGGGACAGAAGAAAGACAATGACTTAAAGGTTGTCCGAGAATGATTGAAAAATAAAGTCACACCTACTTGGCAGGAGATAGCCAAATACAGTAGAACTATAAAAGGCTACTGGACCCAGTGGGATTCCCTATATCTTCATGATGGCCTTTTGCACTGGAAGTGGGAGAGCCCCGATGGAGTACATGTAGTCCGCCAAGTGATACTGCCGAGGTCACAGGTGAGAAACGTATTGGAGAAGCTTCATAGCAGCCGTTCAGGAGGACACTTTGATACTAAGAGGACACTGGCACGAGTTCTGGAAAGATTTTATTTTTAGGACAAAGGTCTATGGATTCGCTCGGCAACGTTTGAAAGTCAATAGCGATAAAGCAAAAGCTAGAATCGACATGCACGCCACCGGAACACATTTTGAGAGAGGTGATCCAGTATGGTTTCACAATCCCAAGTGCCGAAGAGGACTTTGTCCGAAACTGCAACGGAACTGGTAAGGCCCCTACAACGACCTGATCTATCGCGTTGAGTTGTCAGCGGGAAGTAAACCCAAAGTAGTTCTCATTGAAAAGTTACCGCCATACCGTGGTCCAGATCCTCCCCATTGGCTCCAGCCAGGTACCAGTAACCAAGTTATTCGGGGCGAATAACTAGAGAGGAGGGAGCAATGTTACGCAGTACCCTGTAACGTGCTGCGGTCATCATAAGTAAAGGTACGAGTAAATGAATAAGATGGAATATTCCCGAAAAGTCTCGAAATGTCATTCCTTGTCAAAGAAAGGTAATGTTAAAAAAATATCAAAATTTATACAAATGTCTAAAATTAAGCTGTAAAATATTGTAATTATTTACCTGTTGTTACCAAATGGCTGTATCATCTTAGCTATGTAGGCCAATAAATTATAAAAAAAAAAAAAAAAAAAAAAAGGTCCAGATTGTTCGAGAAGTTTCCAGAAGGGGAGGCAAGCTATATAAGGCAACGACCTGATGTCAGAGTTTCAGTTTTATGATAGACGTTAAACGTTAATGTTATCAGTTGAAGTTATTGTATCAGTTGTATAATTGTTGTTAAAGTTTAGTTAAAATAAATTGTGATACCAAAAACCAGCGTAACATTATTATTTGCGTTGTAGCCACCATAGTACGTTTTTAAATTCCATTAATTCAAAACAATATGAATAATTTTGTAGTACAAGCTATAGTTTTAAACAATTTAGAGCAAGTTGAAGGCAGGGCAGCAAATATACAGAGGCGATTATTAAACCAAAATGCAAATGAAGCGTTAACTGAAGAGTTATTTAGAAAACATTTTCGTCTATCGAACCAAGCTTTTGAAGGTCTAATGCAGTATATTGAGCCTCTTCTACTACCACCAAGAAGAGTTGGAGCTTTAACTAAAGTAGAAAAAGTGTTAGTAGCTCTAATTTTTTTTGGAACTGGTAGTTATCAAGCTGTTATAGGCAGCAATGTTCATACACTGTTCAGGAATAAGCCAGCCAGCCTAGTAGATGTATTAAGAAGGTGGTTGAAGCCTTAAATCATCCAACCATATTTAACCGTTGGGTTAAATTTCCAAGTACAATTCATGAGCTGCAAAATAATAGAAGGGCATTTTTCAATAAATTTGGAATATCGGGAATACTAGGTGTAATAGATTGCACACACTCCAGGGGTACAAATTCAGGATGCGCAGAAGACTGCTGTTTTATTATAGGCGGTTGTCATATATTGTATTATCCGAGTTGCGCAGTATATAAACTGGAACATTGGGATCAAAAGTGCCGACGCAGAGTAAGCGAACTGATTCTTTAGCTATAAACTGTGGTAAAGGCATCAAAATGACCGCGCCCTATGTTGGGCGTGTCGGACCTCTCTCTTGCACCATATAGTAATCAAAGTATGTGAATCTTGCCACCACGATGTCAGAATCGGAAGTGTAATCTCCACATACTTTCATTTTCTTTTACTATACTGAGAATGGTCTCACTGCGTAGCTTTCTGAGTGCCTTTTAAAAGGAGATAGAAAACTCCGCCATTTTGATCCCTTATTACGTGTGCCTACATCTTGGCGCAATATTTTTAATAGGTGCGTTTTAATCATCCGCTTCTGCTTCGGAATTGTCGGTTTTCTTGTTTTAATCTGACAGGTTAAAACGACTAAACCGACAATTCCGGAAGCAGAAGCGGATGATTAAAACACACCCGATATTTTGCCTGCTGCTGTCAGTGTCAGTGAATATTAATTTTGGAGTCACAGTTTATTGCTAAAGTTAGCTCACTCGGACCAGTTAAAAGTTCCAAAATAACATCCACTCCAGGGATACAAATTCAAGATACGCAGAAGACTGCTGCTTTATTATAGGCAATTGTCATATATTATATTATCCGAGTTGCGCAGTGTATAAACTGGAACATTGAGATTAAAAGTGCAGATGCAGAGTGAACGATCTGATTCTTTAGCTATAAACTGTGGCATAGGAATCAAAATGGCCGCGTCCTATGTTGGGCGTGTCGGACCTCTCTCTTACACCGTATAGTAATCTAAGTATGTAGTAATCTCCCACTCACTAACACTGCCTCGCTGCCTACAGTGCCAGCTTATCAAAATGAAAATAAAACTAT